ACTACTACTACTACTACTACTACTACTACTACTACTACTACTACTACTACACTAGACTATACTATACATTACTACTACTGATATAAAAAGTTACTGTAGACAGCTTGAAATTGGAACTACTTCACGCCTAATCAGCTCCCAACCCTTTCGCCTCGCTGGCCAGGCAAACGCGGCTACTTTGTATGACTGACCGATGTGCCAAGTTCTCTGTTCTCAGCAGTGAAGGCTGCTCCGAGTATATGGGTGGAACTGCCCTTGAAGGATTGCTTGCGCAAGTTCCGCTGAAATGCATTATTCAATGCAGCCTGTCCAATTTTCATCATGTGATTTTATCCTTTTGCAGGCAGATTTGGACGTCATTACGTTTGAGCTCTTACTGTGAACATTGATTGTTCGTCATGTGGTTGAGCTTGAAAGTGAGGTACTGACAGTTTGGCTGCAAATGTATCGCAGTCCGCGCTGGAACAAGAGAAATGGCTGGCGCAGAACATGGCTGCTGCCAAGTCAGAAGAGCAGGTGGCGGTCCTGAACATGTTTTGCTTGCACCATCAGGCTTGCTTGGCGAAGCGTCCCATTATCCTGAGCATTGCAGGAATAGCATCAGGACAGTGGTTCGAGAAAGGGCTTGATTTTTTTAAAATACGAGTGCGGACATGTTCCAATGTCCAACGTTCCGAAAACCATGTATTATGTGCTGGGTTGACTTGGGCAAAGCCGAAGTTATAAGTTATAAGTTACAGGTTATAGGTTATAAGTTATAAGCCATGGGCTCATGGGCCCTAGCTGATGGGCACTGATGGGGCAAAGCCGTGGTTGTTGCAGAATTGCTTTCCGACCAGGACTCGTGCGCATGGGGCACGCATTTCGATCCTCATCTTTGAGAGATAAGTTTGAAGCCTACCTGGATGAACTCTCAGCGAACGTTGAACGCCAGCAAGTCGCTGAACTGCCCGCTTCAGTTTGGGAGTGGAAAGAAATGAACAGAACCAAATTGTCGATCTGCCAGTCGTGCCTTAGCAGTGATGAAATTGAGAACATCTTGACGATGTTCAATCACGACTGGTCAGTGGATCTTCGTTCCAATTGCAATCGCATAGTGCATTTCTGTCGAGCAGGCTGCTGCTCAAGCGATGACGAATGTCACCAGAAATGCAGGGTGGCGCTCTATGCAGCCGCCTACCGTCTGTGGGACATACCGCTTTTATACAGATGGAAGCACTTTGAGCCAGCTGCGGAGTACGTCTTACGTTGCTTGCTGCTTCACGGCGTTTTGGTGTCTGCGTGGGCCCACGTCTGTGAGCCAGGGGACAAGGAGGTGAACTTACAGGCGGTCGACGAAGACAACCCCGACATTAGCCCTGCAATGCGACAAGCCGTCAGAGTTAACAAAGTCCTTGCTATGTTGACTAGCCCTGACGCAATTGCCGCTCGGTTTGGGGAGGAGAGGGAAGGGGAGGATCCAGGCCATTGATTTGATTCATATGCAATAAGACGGGTGGAGGGGGGCAGCGTGCTGAGAGGGGTGGCCGGCAAATTTGAATTGTTAAGTTCTATTATTTTGATTAATATTGATAGGGGGGAAGCGCCCCCTCTGTTTGGAGCCGTTCTGGGCGTGCAGGGGGGCCAGGGCAATCCCCATGTTCCATTAAGACTCTTTGGTCTCAAACAAAGTGTTGGCTTCCCGCAAAGCACATCGTGGTTTCAATCCACCTGACCAGCGACCCCAGCTCTCAGGAGAACTTTGCAAAAGCCTTGCTCTATACGTTGCCTCTATCACAATTCATGGATGAGCTTTCTTTTGTGGAAAGTTGCAGGCTGCGACTACGATTGAGAAGCCAAGGCTTGGAGCTCCCCAAGAGCCGTTGCCAAGTGTCCACGGAAGATTTTGTTCTGATGAACATGAAGCTGGTGACAGGACCAGTGTAGGGGTCCGGGGTTGCTCAGTGTTCAATTTAACATTGCCAATGTGTCGGTCCAGGGTGAGGGGGTGGAAAGGTGATGGAAGGGTGTGCGGTACATATACAACTTTCCACAACATCTTGACAAGCAATCATTACAAGCAACCTTCCACAAGACCGCCTCCCCTCTGCACGTGGCAGGGGGTCGGCAGATTTTTGTCGTTCATGATTCATGACTATGACTATGACTATGACTCATATCATCATTCAATGAAATATGTTTTGTTTGGTTCTTATTTGTCTTTGTCGCCTATTTTGTCCTTTGTCCATTCCACCTCGACCTCTTCCTGCGGGTCATGTCGTGTGTCCTGCGCGCGCCTCAGAGGAGAATCCGGGTGGCAAGCGATCCAAAAGTTTTTCTGCGTGATTCAGGGCAGTGATGATTCCATGGATCATCTTCGCGCAGTCAAAGTGTTCAAGCTTGAGCTGGCTGATTGCTTCGACAGGCTTATCATTGGCATGTGCGATACATACAGGCGGCTGGTGCTTCTTTTCCAAACATTCCCCTACAAGGCCTTTCCCATTGTCTCCCTCAGTGTACCAGATGCGCTGGAGAAGTGCAAGGCTTTTTCAGCTGAGGGCCAGATGTGCAAGCTTTGCGCAGATGAACCTTTCACAAAGGCTTCTTGATATTAAGAAACAAGTTCTGTTTAAGGACGCGAATGTTTTCCATCGTTTCCGCAAATTTTGTGACTTCATGCTTCACATTTGAGGAGTCTCAGCGTCAGAAACATTGATCAATTTTCCAACTTGCGCTGCTTAGGTTCTCCTGGACTATGTTCTTGGTCCGCGGTCCCACGAGGAACAGTTGGAACGAGTTGCCATGTCACAGCGTATGTTGAAGAGTGTTCTTGCAGAGCTTCCTGCATCTAGTGTTGAAATTGAGAAATCGCACGCAAACGTGCAACGAGATGCCTCGGAAGACCGTGGCACAAGGCCGAACGCTTTTACCATCCAACGGAACAGTTACCTTCTCAGCGCTTTGCTTGAGCATGCCAACCGCTTGGGCGCCGTAGAAGACGAGTGTTTGGGCACTGAGCGGAAGAAGGTCCTCAGAATTGCGCGTAGTCGTGTGGTGGATTCATCAGCTCCTGCTGCAGGCCTCTCACTGGCCAAAGCTGACCGCCGAAAGCTCAATCCAGACGGCACAGTCAAGCGGAAGAGAGGATTGCTGAAGGGGCTCCTGTGTCTGGGCTGTGCTCATCAAGTGTCAAATGATGTATTCTGAAGGATTCATATTGTGTCATACAGCAAGTCAATGTAGTTTTTTGAAGTATTTGCTGTATGCAAATTAATAGTACGCGGTATGTAACTATGCGTTTATTAGTTAGTTGTCCTTAATGCAAAGCGTCGTTGCCGGATTGGGCATCTAGTGGAACGTCTCATAGCTCCGTGCTTAGGCAAGTGACAGATGGCAAGGTTTGCAAATCTACAAAGACTCGTCGGCTGAGCGGGTACAATGTCTTCGTCAAGAGCAAGCTGTGCCCAAGCAGCATCTTGAATGACATTTTGTGTTTTCCCGGGTTTTGGAGGACCAACCGCCGTTCGTTCAAGCTGAAGGTCTCAATCTTATATATTTATTGACGAGATGATTTACCGAGATTGATATTGATATTGATATTGATATAGAATAGACTTAGATATGCAGACAGGGGCTTCCGCAGTTTCATTACAGTTCTCACACCTTCTTCACTGCCGAGGGCCAATACCCTCTCCAAAGTTGGATCTGCGGATGCCAAAAGGCGCAACAAAGAGCTTGGTAAGGAGTGGGGGTCTATGACACCAGCTCAGAAAGCTCCATTCCTTCGACGTGCGCAGCAGGAAGAGAATGAGAGGCAAAAGCTGAAATCAACAGCCTTCTCCCGTGCCGAAGAGGAGGCAGACTCGGAACCAGCGGCTGTGGGCATCAGTCACGCTCAGCAAAAGCGGCTCAACCACGCTCGCCTTGACAAAAGCCTCGGCCAGGTTGTGAACCATCCGATCTGGTCACATGGCTTGGCCCTCTCTGACCACGTGGCAGCTCTCAAGGCTTCGTATGTCTCCATGGATCAGGCTGAGCAAAGCGATTTGAAAGCCTTTCAGTATGATTCTGAACCAACGCCAAACCCACAACTCCCAGCTTTCCGTCGTGCTTGCTTGCAAAGTGGCATGACCTGCGCTAGCTCCAAGTACCTTACCCCGGTCAAGAGCTTGGTTGGCGACTTGGACACCATGATCCACTACAATGAGCTTCAGGGAAAACCACTGTTGTTACACCTTCAGCCTTGTGGGCATGCTTCCAGTGGAACCTGGGTTCTGATCGGCTGTGTTTGCAGAAGACCCGTGGTTCATGTTGGAACGTCGATGGTTTGCGTCAGTGAGTCGCGCAGGGCATTCAGGCCCCCACAGCTTTGGTTGGGTTTCAAACTCGAAGAGCGCCGGCCTTGTTTCACAACATCGCACCTTTTGTTCGAAGAGTTGCCGGAACGGTATTCATCAGGGCGCGTCTCTGGTGCTGAGCAGATGCCAGTGCGAGTTGAGGACTTCTCTGTTTCCGTGCCTCACCAGCGTTTGAGCGGGCTTTGACAAATACAATCAAATAATAGACTATAGACCACAGGTATGACTTAGACCGCTAGTACCCAGGCAATCATGGGGTTAGCAAAGAATGGTATCCTCTTTTTTGGGAACACCATTTCTAACTTCTAACGCCACCGGGGATACACAGCGGTCAGCGAGAATGAAAGGGCAACTGTGGTGATTTCCCAAGGTGGCTCTTCGTGATAAGTTTGGCGTGCGCCGCTCAGAAGCTGGAGTGCAACTGGTGGTAGAGGGGCACCCGGCCATGCTATGTGTGTTGGGACACAACTCAACGCTCCAGGAGGTTTGTCGGCGTGAGCGTGAGCAGCCGCAGAAAACCGGAAGTCGTCTTCCATTTGGGTTGGATGCTTTCCTTCCCAAACCAAAGCCGAAGGCTAAACCAAACTCGGGCAAGAAGGTCGACGCGACACCTTTTGCTCCATCGATCGTCAAGAACTTCTTCAACAATAAGAAACAGGGTGGGGAAGATAAAATGCCGAGACCTTCAAGTTTATCCTCAAAGATGCCTTCCTCCTCATCAAAATCTGAACCCGTGTTCCTCTTCAAAAAGAAAGCAGTGTTCCCTGAACTTGTGAACCCTTATGCATTTCAAATTCCGAGTGCGTCCCGTTCTTTTCCGCTACCTATGTTTTACTATGTTTTGGTAGTGGCTGAGTTTCCTTCCACAATGTTTGACCTTGAGGCACCCAATGGAGTCCCAGGAAGTCGCATTGGCTTCTGGATCGGTACTATAACGAGTTTTCCACTTAAGAATTTATAAGTATAAGATATAT